CCAAGCAAAACCCCTGGCTAAGGTAAAGCCTCCTGCCTGCGAGATACCACACACATTATCAATACAGTTCCTTCGCCCCTTGCAGTTTTTCGCATCTGTCACTTGTTCACCTTGCATCAAACATGCATCATACAAATAAAAGCTATAACTTTTATGAATTTTATAAATTTATAAATTTTATAAATTTAGGAAATTGAAGAGCATGAAAGCAGTGCTGTACTTCATAAGAATATGAGTTGAGGAGGCATATATATGATGAGTGACACGGTAACACTCACAGGCTTGTATAAGGAGGCCTGTATAATTCATCCTTTTTTCACCTCAGGACCATCCCAATGCCAAATTCCAAAGTCCTACTACAAAGTGGAGGCATCAGAATACTTCTCTGAAATAGAAGTAAACAGCTGTTTTCCCATGCTTCATATAACCAACTGAACACAGAGACTTGCAACAGAAAGCATTAAGCAGCGTCACATACGGGGTAGGCACCTGTATCTGCCAAAATCCCATTATGCCTATTCATTTATTATAGCTAAATGCTCTATCTAATGATACACAAGTCAGCGTAGTGAGGCCTTTTAAGATCAAGACCTCATTTTAGCTCCACTGGCTGTTGTGGGCTTTGAACAGTTGCTTAATTTCAATATTGACTTTAAATGTTTTTAGTCTGGCTTATGTGATGTCCAATACAGGGGCCAAGAGGTATCCTGAGTTAAAAGTAAAGTGTATACCAATGTAACAGAAACTTTATAAAATGTTAAAATCAGTATCACTATTCTGGAGTGGAAGGAGTAGCTATTCCCTGAACAGTGGTCTTCTGATCCTGCTGCATTGGAGCAATTATCATTTAAGGTAGAAGACGACTGAAAAGCTTTCCCTTTCCTGTTGCACCTCCACTTACCTGCTGCATCACAAAAAGGCACAATGGTTCTCAAACTGCTTGCATTCCCCAATAAAAAAGTAAAAATATGGGACCTCTGAATGTCTATTTTTTTCCCCTCTCAGGCATATACACAGACATATCAAAAAAAGCTGCTTCCACCATTAATTGATGTTAAAATTGATGCTAACTGAAAAAGTCTGAGATTATTTTTAAGGAAATATTTTCATAAATCTATACTATTGTTTCAGTATGGTTAAAAAATTATTCAGAATTAACCATCAGAAGACCTAGCAGTATCCAGTACCTCACTAACATTTTCTGGATTGCTCTTTCCATTTCAGATTTATTTACTTCTCTGGGGATTAAAACCAATAAACCAACCCGATTTTGCAGGCAGAAGTCCTTGGCTACCTTACAATAGCAGAGTAAAAAGATGAAGTAATTTCCCCCACCAGGATCAAGAAACATTATGGAATTGTGAGAGGAGGACTGTCCCAAAGAACAGAAGATTTCAAGTTAATACACCTAGCAAAAGGAGACGTGACTAGTGGTAACAAGAAACCCTTTTGAAAACAATATATTGCATACCTTCTTGCAGAACCTAATTCTCTCACACAACATGAACAAAAATTAGAAACCCAACGGAAATTATTTCATAGCATACTTCAGAGGTAATGGATGGAATACTTAACCCCGTTTCTCAGTAACTGACCAAACAGACTCTAATTTGATGTCACTTCCAATCCAACGTTTTTTCTTATTTTTGGCAAAGTGGTTGTAATAAGGAAAACCCAAAGCCAGAAAAGTCGCATTAAAAAAATAAAAGTACTGGTTTTTAACCTTTGAAAAGCCCTGTTAAAGGGGGCTTAAATATCAGATATGCAAGTGATAAAGAATGTTTTAATGAGCTCTCAAAGTCATTACAATGACAACGAAGTGCCTGCAATTTTTGAGCAACAAAATTTAAAAGGTTTCAACAGCACTACTATAAAGGTGAGAAGTTAACAGTTACAATGTCAGAAGTCTTGACATTGTCACAGTTAAATCAGAAAGCAAGATATATCTGAACAAAGAAGATCTGTTTGGAATATGTATGTTCTAGGCAACAAAGAAGAGGTAAGAGTGAAAACTAAATTGAGATCCAGCACACAAATGAGATGCATCACAATGAAATGTATGCAAACAACCTGGCTGAACGTCCTCAAAATCTGTGCTGGATTTTTGGCACTAAGTGTAAAGGGAATTCACTGTACTACACATATATTTTAAGATAATATCGTAAACCAGTCTTTGGCATTTGTTGTATCTGCTTCAATTAATTTTATGTACAAGGCATGTATTTTTCCCCAAATCGTTACTATCATTTTTTAATCAAGCAAGAAATGAACAAAGTTCTCTAAGGAAATTACTTTTAATTTTATAAAGATCATACAAAAGTATTTTTACATATTTTAATACTATTAATAACTTATTCCTTTCTAGTTCTAAATACACTCAAAATAACAATAAAAGGAGAAGGAGCACTAGTCTGCTCTGCACAGATTGGTACCAAACAAGAAGAGCAAGAGAGACTACAGATGGCAAACTTGTAAGGATCAGAGAACTGACCTTTAATTGAATGTTGCAACTTAGTAGTCAAGATACTCAGAGATCTTACATTCATGAAAAAGAACACATCTGGAAGTAAACTTTCTAAATCTATCTACTCGTATCATCATACAGATATGTATTTAAATAGAGACGGAGTTCAAAAGCAGTATTCCACATTACCCACAATGTAACTGAAAAGCCTATGTTATTTGAAGCAATAATTTAAAAGGACAGTTTCTTTCTAAGGAATGCATGTTTGACTTGTTTTTCCCCACACTGTTGTTGCATAAAGGTCACAACTGTATAAAACACACAGGAGTGGGATCACGATCCCATGCTGAGTCAGCCAAAATGAATTCCATTCCCAGCTTTGTGAATGACTTGCAACATGAGTAATGGAATTATTTTATCTTTTTTTGTTCATCTGTACAATGATACTTACCTACTTCACCAGGTTGTTGTGGGAATTAATGATGGATATGTTAATATTTAGGAAGCATCATAAGCTGCATCCATTCCTACAAAAATCTGTCCTACGGTAGCTTGACTAAGTTTTTCAGGACGATTATCTATCTTTTTTTATTTGTTTGTACAGTTCCCAGAACAATAGGGTCTTAATCCTTGACTTGGACAGCTAGGCACCATTGAAACATAAATAATTAGCAAACAATATGAGTTGAGAGGTTTAGCAAAGTGTTATCCTTCCCAGAGCTCCAAGGCACAGAGCACGCAAATGACCAGAACTTAGCCAATGTAAAGGGAACTGGGGACAAGGAACCATAGCCCTGGTTGCTTGCTAACAACTTTGGTGGCTTGTTCTTGAAAGAGCAGGGATACAAAAAAGACGACTGATGGAATGCATATGTGAGAAGAGAACACTATTCAGAGGAGCACAGGGACTGCAAATACAGTTGTCTTTTGAGCAAGGCAAAAAGCTTTTTATGTATTTGCCAGCTCTACTGTATCTGCAAACTAAGAGCAAACACAGTAGGAAAAAATAGGGGGTTGGGTTGGGTTTTTTTTTTTGGGGGGGGGGGGAGGAGTTGGGGGAGTGGGGAGAAACAACACATAAACATGCAATTTGCCAAAAGAGATACACATCAACAAGAAACAGTTGCATAACCAACAGTAGCTGTTGTCTCTTGAGATGTGTTCTATGCACATATATGCTGCCTTTATCACAAGCATGCCCGCTACATTCAAGATAGAGTCTCACTTAGAAGTATCAGCTGTATGTTATCATATACACCAAGAACATCCCCCTGCTTCCCATCAGAAGTAAAAAGGTTGGAGCCAGTCCAATCACTTGAGTAGCTCTTTCTTCATCTTGGACAGCCCTTCATCTTCAGCATCTAAGAACAGCTTCAAGTATCAAGCATAAAGGGTATGACATAGACTTTGTGCTAACATTTCTAAGTAAAACAATTACTAAACAAATAAACAGCTGTTTATTCTTCATGGCTTGTCCACGCATTTGTTCTGTTGTTGGTGACTTCTAAGCTATGTACTCTCTGTAGGTGTGTATCAGTAATTTGGTTGTTTAGAAATGAAAGACTGATGGGAAGCATTACTGGCAGCATTACTGGAGTGAAAAATAATTCCTTCCAAGTGACAAAAGAAGAAATGGTCTGCTTCCAGTCAGTCTGGAAGATACCTGGAGGACAGGCAATTTCCACAAGGTGATGACTGAAAAGGAAGTAGAATGCTGAGACGAAAGCCTGGAGTGTTTCCAGTAAACTGTGAATGCAGGGTGGGGCAAACGAAAGCAGTCTTCAAGAGGGATAAAGGCAGAAGAGTCAGGGTTTAATACACTACTCACAATTTTTATTTTCTTAAATATAGATGATGTTAAAGCAATATATTAGGAAAAAAAATGGAGAATTACAACAGAGACTAAGTAAACATTATTTTCAGCCACTAATTGATACAATTTCCAGCCACTAACAATACACACACAACACAAAACAAATTAAACACTTATTTACCTAGACGTGTCAAGTTAATATTTTATCCCAATACTTTAGAACAGCTTGTATCCCATCATATTATTATATAATGCCATTATTACACTGGGCATTCAAAACTCTTTGATACTCTCAGTCAACAATACATGCTTAATGCATACCTAACTTTAAACACATTAACCCACTCATTTAAGTAATCTATTTAATGTGCAATAAAAATTAAAATCTGTCTTTCCAATAGTTTAGTCCCCTCACCCCCTCTTGTATTTGGCAGTTCGATAACCAAAAAACTTGAATAGATTAGAACGATAAAGCATTTTCATCAAAAGGCTACACAGAAGTAATACACATAGTTTGATGTGATCTGAAACAGATGCTGAAACTATTTTTGAAAGAAGAGAAAAATAGAGTTGTTGGGGCTTTTTTTTTGTTTTGCAGGGGGTTGGTGGGGTTTTTGGGGTTTTTTTGCGGGGGGAGGGTTGTGGGTTTTTTGTTTTGTTTTGTGGTTTTTTTTTTTAACTAAAGTAACTGGAAAAAAGTCTTAGAAAGTCTCAAAGTCTTACCTGTTGGTATGCTTCATAGATTATATCAAACAAGAAAGCCTGAGGCATTTCACTCGCTCTGTACCTGGCACGTTCCAATGAGTGGTCTAAACAGCCATCTGCAGCAGAGGCAATAACAGTAGAAACTAGAGGACGAATTGCTCCTGCTGCCTGTGGAAAAAAACACAAAGAAAGTCCTAAATGTTATTAATATTAATGTATATCAGATAGATGCAGTCAAAAGAGTAAGAGCTTTAAAATAGATTTTCTAGTTATTTATCTTTTATATATCTCATAATGTGTAAGTCATGCTACTTAGTCTCTATGAGACTTTTAACATGAATATAGCAATGGAAAACTGTATAAGTACACAGAGGCCAATTTAAAAAAAAAAAAAAATCTTAAGTCCTTCATAAACATCTACTGCAAATACACGTACAGGTCTGAGATGTTTGTTTTTCAGACTTTCTTCTACATACATATTAGGTGGTTTCTGTGAGGACAGTTCTAGGCCTATTCAGATATCAAACAGCACAAGACACACGTGAGAGGTCTTGAGAATCCACAACACCTATTGCTTTCACAGATTTCAATTTGGCTGAATAGCTCAGAAATAAGCAACAAGAAAAGTATCAGAAAATTGAGCTTGCTCCTCTGTGTTGAATTCACCCTGTGAAATACTGAGCAACCACACTTACCAGTGAGGTCACTGGGAACACAGTATATACATCAGAACGCATTCGATATCCAGCAGCACTGTGTCCCAGAACAGATATTCAAATGCTTATATTTCAGTTTTGGTTTTGCTTAGATTTGAAACCAATTAAACGTATATCTTTGATCTTTTCATCAATATATAGTATTAAAGATCTACGGTGCCTCTGAAACAGAACTCTCCCAGCTGGTTTTAGTCATTTTGATACCAGAAAGCTACCCACACTTCATCAGTCACTTATCAAATGTTCACATGAACCATATATGAAGCTAAGGGCAATTGGGACAGGACTTGTCCATACAATAATGAAGAAAAGGATGCAATGGCAGAACATTGCTTATCAAGTCACTCGGCAAAAAGCACACTCCCTAACAATGCTAACCACTGAGAATGGCATCCTTACCCTATAATGTTCATTATCTATTTTTAAGAATAATAAAAAAGAATAGTTGATGCTGTTCCAAAGCATCTGGAATTATGCAACATCTTAAATCAGTATACCTAGAAAACCATTCCCGATGGTGAATTCTGACACTTTTCACTGCAGCCATAGAAGATCTTCCGAGATCTAGTGAGCTTTGACACAGTAAAAAAAAAAAAAAAACCCAAACAGATCTTAACACATAAGAGCACTGTTATTGTTGATTTGTTTTATCTTCTGTTGGCAAATCCTGCCCTCATACGTACAAGTCCTGTCCGTTCTTACAAGACTTCTGACCTCAGGTAAGCATACAGTGGCAGAATGAGACACCGAAAGTGAGGCCCAGTTTTTTTTCCCCCTCTCAGAAGAGGAAGAACTAGTTCTCTTCCCTCCCCCTTTCACGCTACTGAACAATAAAACAAAGAAGAATGCAGTCAGCATGTTGAGCATTTTATGAGCTCTAAAATACAGCTTCTTAGTTCATTCTTTTACAGAATGAGGACAGAGATGTAAACCAATTTCTCGTGCCCAGAGTTCTGATATCCATGAGCTACCAAGAAAGGAGAGAGAAGATTCAAAACATTCATATGACAAGAGATATCTGAACCACTTTCTCAAAATCTGAAAAACACTTTTTCTTTCTAATACATGGGAAGATATATCTATATAAAACACTACATGGAGCAAAACACTATCATCCAAAGGCAAAACATGGTACAGAAAGATCAGCAAGAACTATGAAACCACAGAAGAACTGTCTGTGAAGGATCTAGAGAGGTAACCTAGTCCATCCTTCTGTCCCAGGCAGGATCAATTTTACTTCTGTAATAGAAAAGACAAACTGACAAAACTAAACGCCACTGTAATTTTAGTAATACGTCAATGTATTAAATGAGGAGTAAATTTAGCAGATGTACTTTGAGGAAAAGCTGTGCATAAGCAGAAGTAGAAAGACTAAATTAAATCTGCAACTTGTCCCCTCTTTATTTCCTATGATTCCAAGACATGGATTATTACCTCTAGACTCCAGCTGCTGGGCATTTGGACTATGTTATTTTGCTCTGCCGTCATATTTTAATTGGTCACACACACACACACACAAAATTATAAAATTAGAAGGTCATGGGAAAAGAGACAGAGCAGCATGCTAGCCACAGCTTTTCTGTAATTAGTTAAGTCTGTTTGATTTTTTTTTTTCTGAAAGTTACCATTCCAGAAAAACAATTAGCAAAATAGGATTTCTTCGGCTGATCCAATATTTTATTACAGTTTTTAACAATCATGTCATGTTATGTTTTAAGCATAAAACAGGACAAGAGAATACAATGTGACTTGCGTAACCAAATCTCACAAGTGAAACACACACTCTGAGGAACAAAAAACCAAACTGCAATTCTAAATAAAATTGAAATACTCAAAATTATGTTCTTAAAAGAGCTCTGAAACACATTGTTTTCTTGACATCTGGTTTATTGCACAATAAAAATTCATGAATGTCTGTATCTGTATCTTTGTGACAATACTGAACCACATCTCCTGCTCTGCTGAGGCCTAGCTCTTCCAGAAGGTTCAGGAAGATCTAATTTCTAATAAACCCAAACACGTCATTTTTTAAAACCCCCAATTAACTTCTCAAGTAATTAAAAGCTTCATGGCACCTAAAACTTAACAAACTGCATTTTTCAAACTACAGTTTTGCTTTACATTACCCCAGAACTGAGTCCAGTGTGGCAGGCTGAAAGTTTCTCACCTGTCTTCCCTCCATTTCAATGAGAAATCACAAGTTGGGCACAGTAAGATGTCTTCTGCAGCAAGTCCACTCAAACTATACCCGACACTGACCGAAAACATGAAGTTTAATACAAAGAATACGATTTATGGCTGACTTCTGATCATGCGAGGGAGAGAAATTCTAACTATGTATGTAGTAACAGTATAACCAGCAGTCATTTGATTTAAAAAAAAAAAAAAAAAAAATCAGCTTTTATTCCAAAAAAAGGACAACTCAGTCCATGACTGCTCTATGCTCTAAAAGCAGAATGCAGAGCTCTAGTACTTACCAAAGGCAGGAAGTTTCTACTGCACAGAAAACCTTCATATGATGAGCAGCTAGGGTCCAAAAGCCATGAGTCCATGAGCTAGAGCATACTTGCTAAGGTGCAGCACTGAGTTGAAACCTCAAAATCCTGAGACAAGATACAGAAACTGGTTGGTTGTTTTGCTCAGTACTGGCTCACCTTTCTGCAGGACCCTTCTGTCTCAGCACACACACACATGGGCTCCCTCAACCAGATGATGCGACCCAACACAGGGCAGAGTTTACCACCTCAGTGACACAAGAACTACAACAGTTCCTAAGGCCACTTTCAGACTGCATGAAACTGGGATCAAGCGAAGGAAAATATCAGCCTGTATATGCCCTGCATTGTTGTCATATGGGACAAGACAGCTGAGTCCCTAACACAGGAAACCTTGCATCTGCAGTGCTTCTGGCGACATTCTCTAGCTGGCATACGCCAACGCAGCTGCCAAACCCAAGCTGGCTTACACAGACCTCACAGCACGTGCTTCTGCTTCCAAAATTGGCTCATGGGTATCTTCATTCATTGCGTAAACATAATATTTGGCATGTAAAAACAGGAGAATTGAGCTGTGCATTTTGTTCTCATATACAGGCCAAAGAGGGGCACAGTTTGAGATGTTCTGCTCGTTCTGGGGTGTATCCCTCTGGTTAGTGTAAGTGTCCTCCCTACTCAGCACAAAGCCTTTTCTGAACTCCACTCCTAGCAGTCTTGCAATGAACTGGACGGGGAATTTACGTACTGAAGACAGGGCTACAGACTACATTTTTTACTTCAGAAACTTAAACATTAGGGCACGGTAGAGCCAATAATACAATAAGGTACTACTGCATCTAAAGGGGCTTTTGCCCCTGACGACTATGGGGTGTAAGTGAAGAACACAATCACCCGGTTAGTCTGTGTCTATTCAGTTACAACATCAAATACTTTATTCTTTGCAAGGAATTTCCATGTTGGTTATAAACCAGTAACAAAAAACTATTTCCATATTAGTAAAGAGAGTATATACTGAGTCTCAGGTATTTGAATTTTATTTGTTCTAATTTGAGAAGCTTTGACTTGCTATTTATGTCAGGAATGTACAGGTATTTGGCCCTCAGGCAAGAGGTTCAGACATGAATTTAAAAAAAAAAAAAAGAATAAAACAAAGAAAATGTCTCCTCATTTAAAATTATAAGTACTTGTTAATGTCACTATAGTTTTACAGATTTTTTTTTTTTTTTTTACACTTTGAATTAGCCTACCACAGAATACAAACCCTGTGAGTCTAAAGCAAGTGCCTGGGTCTTATACCGACATTTCCCTACCCAGAGTACTCATCTTCCAATTTCTAATCATTTTGACCCAGATCTCAAGTAGATTTGCTTTCAAAATCATACACCAAATGCATCATACACCCTTCCTGAATGTGAAGTGGTTAGTTAATGGATAGTTAAACTGAATTTCTTTAAATGTCCACTTTACGGCCTTCAAGCCGCTCCACTTCAAAGACAGTCAAGCACTAGTTTTGGTGAACCTGGCATGTCCAGGAAATGCATACACTTCTTTCCCCCATTTTTGCATATTTTGTTAAATAAATTAGTTAAAGTATCAAAATATCTATGGGCAAGCGCTTAAAATACTCTTCCATAGCATAACAGACATTGAAACAAATACTGCTAACTGCTTAATTTTATATGCAGACAAAATTTGGAACAAAACCCATCCTTTTAATCTATCATTTCCCTAAAACAATCCTAAAATGTCCTGACAATGCTGAATTCCATCAACTTCAGTGGAAGTGACAGACTGGTATCTCTCAGAAGCAAGCTCATCCACCATCTGCTGAAAACTGAACAAGCCTCTAGAAGTCTTTAGAAACAACATGTGTCTTTTATAATCCATTTTAAACAGCATGAATCAAACCCATTTACAAACAGGTTCTCAGTTTTGTATTCAGTTTTTGGCATACCTGCCTAGAGCATAACATACAATCAAGATTTTAAGATTCGATGGTGACCAAAAAAAAAAGGTAGAGAATGAAGTGCATCATGCAGGTCAGTATAATAGGGTATCATAAGTATTTTCCATAGATTCAAGGCGTACTAATCCACCTTTCTACTAAACAGTAACACTGTATCATTCTCATTTTATCATACTTCTATTCTGACAAGAAATTGTTTAGATGCATCTATTCAGTGAATACATAACCAGGGTGTGTTTTAAGATCAGATAACACAGACAGTTCAAGGAGAGTAAAATCCAAGCAATATTGATGACACCTTTTATTACAAAATGAAGTATGAATGTTTAGGCCACAGAAGCTTACACACAACATAGCAACCTGGCTAACACAATGCAGTACAGCTTATTTTTACTGGATATTCATAAGAACTGAAAATCCTCATTTTATTTACAAAAAAACCCAGAACGCATTAAAATTTCCAAAAGGATAAGGGAGGGGAGATGGAGTTTATATCACAAGCAAGAAATTATCCAGGTTACAAATACCCCCACCACACAGTGCATTATTCAGCAGAGACC